GGGAAAGAAGGACAGGTAATGATAAGTGAAGGAAAGGTCAAAGAAACACTAGAACATAGGTCAAAGATAGAGTCCCAAAGCTATAACTGATGTTTAAAAACAGGAGGGAAAAAAAAAGATTAAATAGAATTTTTGAGAATTATTTGTACAAAGTTTAATAAAAAAGGAAAATATGTTGAATAGTAAACTGAGGGGGAAATCTGGCCAGAAAGAAGGGAAAAGTGACAACAAATGCAGACAAGAACACAGAAATGGAAAACAGAAGAAAAAGAAATGTCTCCCAGCCAGAATTACACTTTTCAACCTTGAATGATATTTCTGCAGCAAAGAAGATCATTCCTTAGCTAATCAGTTTACCAGGCTTAAAAGAAGCAAATTATACATACCGGTGACTGTTGTCCTACCCTACCTGCTATGTAGGGCAAGGGAGTGGAAATGAGGGGACTGAGATAATTTGGGAGCATGGGCTGGGAAGAAGGGAACAAGCAGTAGGAGTATCTGGCAAAGCACTGAGCTGTAGGATGCAGAAAAGCAAACCAGCAATTTTGCTTTTCTAATTCGTGCACTTCTCATGAGGCAACAGTGCAACTTGACATTGTAAACTGGGAGGCAGCACTGGTAGAAGCCGAAAGGACAGACAACTGTAGTTTGCTAGAAGTGGAATTCCTTGTTTTACTGGTGGCCAAATAGTTTACCAATTTAAATTAGAAAATACTGGAAGCTCCAAAGTCTTGGAGCTGTTGTTTACAGCATTCTAAATGTTCAGAATAATTTTTGTACCCCAGACTGTGTATTGATCTTTTTTTTAAAAATCTTACTACCTATACAACTTTAAATGCTCAGTAACAATGGCACAGTCCTATTATGACCGTATTCCTTCCTACTTTTGCAAGTGACATTCAGCAATCACAAATGTACATATATGCATTTAACATATATCAAATACTACAAACTGATAACTAGCAACAATAGAAGCTTGATGCTACTTCAGCTTCTGTGTTAGTCTGGGAAATGCAAACTATACTACAAACCAAAATACAAAAGGTAGAAAACAAGCATATATATTTTCCCATATCCTCCTTCCAGGTAGATGGCATGCAATTGTTTACATTAACTTACTATAGCTAAGCCTCTGTCAGAGCATTTTTATCTGCCTTATTTATTTTTTCTTAGTAACACACAGATTAGATTTGAGAATAGCTCAACCACTGAAGAGCAAAATATACAACTGGATGTCAGTGTTGGAAAGTTATTTGTGAAGATACAAATACTTGTACTCATTTTAGCAACAAACAGTAAGAAATCCATGCTGATTTCACTGAGAAAATGATTTTGTATCGTTTTTCTTGTACAGTCATTATGACTTTTATAGAATGCAGAGACTGATCATGTCTGTAAAGCCTTTACACACGTCAAATAAAAAGGTAATGAATAATCTATTAATTTACAGCAAACAGTTTACAGTTTACCACATAAAATTGACATGCATTTTTCTGAGGTAACAATTCCTCTCCTCCTGTATGCCATATAAATCCTCAAAACATAAAGGATTCTTTTGTCTCAGGTAATCCATTCTACCAAAACAATATTTACACCTAGCTGACACCAGCTTGGGCAGCTGCAGCTCTGGATGCCTCATCCATCGGTGTTGTGAGTATGCAAGTGCAAGTTCTTAGCCCAATGCTCGTTGACTCCTAGCTGTCTTCTGTGTGTGATAGCCTGTGACCAACTGCTTGACATGGTTTAGTTGTCTAGATCCTCCTTGCAGAGGCTCTTTACATTTGTCTGAAGATGTCCAAAGAAGCTGACTGAAAGGAAGGGCCAAAACATTATAAGCAACTGCTTTCAGTTGAATGTAATATTCAAAGTACATCCAAAGTGTCCCAGTTTCATTCCAATGAATCACAGACTCTCAAAATTATGAGCAAGAGCAGTATCAAAAAGGTGCTCATTTTAGATCCAAATATAATTGCCTTTGTAGAAGAGTATAAAATTCAAGAATACAGCAATCATAGAGCAAAGGGGAAAAGAAAAATCTCTAACTGAAGAAGTCCAGCCCAACTGAATTGGCTAACATGTTAAAATACTGATTTAACTATTTCAATTAATGGAAAGTGTTGTCTATCATCAATTCAGACTTAACATCAAACACTTAAAATCACAAATAAGTTGTGCCTTGCAATGGCTCTAAGACTATAGGTCTTAATTCATAAAAACCTATGTTAATGAATATTTAAATAGATAACAGAATGTTTTAAACATTGATCTCCAATCAAGAAGAAAAACTGTGATGGGGAAGAGGCAAAGGAGAGAAAAAGGTGATGTTAAAGATACTATCAGTTTGTTTAGAATTATCAATAAATCCAATAACCGCAAGATTTAAATATGAAATGTGAATGCAGCAACCAAGAAAGCAGTAAACAGATTACTAGAAGAGGTCAATTATAACCCAAATCAACCCAAATGAAACTGGACACAAGGATGAGTTATTTCTTACCATGCTGGCAAATAAAACTGTGTGGTCGTGGGAAACTTCAGTTTAGGACTCCTTATGCAACTGTTGTCAGAGTTCCCAAAAAACCTGCATGCTAATATTCTAATACAAAAGTCACCACTATATGGGAACGTCAGCATGATGAAAAAGGTGAAGTAATCATTGCAGAGGAATCTGGTTCATCTCTGTAGACTGATAATAACCAGATGATGTTCACAAAGGGCAAGCTGAGGCCAGCCCCAAACAAAATTTGGCACCTCAGGAGAACAAGTTGCTCCGAAAAATATAATAGCATAAATACATAATAAAGTCAATATTAACCAGAAATGGGTGAAAAAATCTTCAGCTATAAAAATATTAATTTGACTGTCCTGTATGAAGAATTTTTCTGATAGTCCAACAACATTTTTCCACAGAAAAATCCACCCAGGTCTAATGGTGGAGAGATGCTATGAGTTAGGAATGAGAAGGCTGTACAGCCAAAGAAAGAAAGATGGAATAGATAGCAATCAATATAAATGAGAAATTTTGTTGTGAATAAAATGGACATAATAGGAAAAAAAAAACAGGCACAAAAATCTATAACTGGATGAAAAATAGGAACATGAAAAATCTCAGCACAGTGCAGGATCCCTGATTTAGAACAATAGAGTAAATGAAACAAATATTTCTCTCTGTATTCAAATAGAAACAGGATTTTCTATTTCTTTATTACATGACTATGATAAAGAACTTTCCATTATACTATTCACATAAGAGAATATTAAACAACATCTATCTGGGAGAAATATTTCTAAGTGAGCAGGCTTCATTAACCTGCCCAAATATGCTAAAAAAGTTGGTAAAAACATTGCTGGATCACTGATTTTTAATTTTATTTTTATTGAATACCAGGAGAATGCTGTAAGACTGGAACAGTTGTGACAACTGCAGTTAGAGAAACCTAATGTAAATAGGAAGTGAAATACTGATTGTCTATTATATTTTCATAATAGGTCACCAGGTATTGTCCAAGTCTAATAAAGGTGGACTGTGCCTCCAGTTTGAGCAACACAACAGGCAGGCAGCTCAGAAAAAACTTCAAGTGAAACACTGAACACTGCGATGAAAAGGGCTAATGCTATCCTCATATGCATATAACAGGAGAGAAGAATGTAGGAACTGAAATGAGTAGGAACATTTAGAGCATTGATGACGTGAACATTAAAGTCCTGCAACTCACTGTGATATCCATGTTTGAAGAGATTTTGAAAAACTTGGAAGAGTTCCAAAAAGTTCCAAAGAAAGAATTCAAAGGGCAGAGAAAATGGCTTGTTGAGAGAACTTCAAAGATTTATATCTGCTTAGCGTATTGGAGAGAAAAAAAAAATAAAAAAAAA